ACGTGAGGTTTAGGTGGTTCGTTTAACTATTATACATGATGCTACGTTTTTTGGGGGGTGGTTAATGAAAGTGTTCCAAAAGGCAACATTAATTTCTTGATGACCTAATATATATTTTTAATTTGTAATCCTTTATTTTGCCTTAACTTTAGCAACAATATAAAAGTTCTTGTTTTAAGTATTTTTTTTAATTTTACTAGGAGTTTCTATTCTAGTTGTTTGAAGTTTGCTATCACTTGCAGTATTTCTTTACAGAACTACCTTTGAGATAAAGTGATCAATCAACACTTGTTACAAGTGAAAATCAATACATGCAACATCATTACTCTCTGAATTCGTTACTCAACAAAGGTGATTTTTTAACTTTAGAATCTATCAATCATAATGTATTGGGCTATGATCCTACAGTCAGATCCTATATTAAAGCCTAATTTTTTTCTTTCTCTCTATTCCTAACAGGTAGCAAAAACATACCACGCATTGTGAAGTATAAAAAATATCATGACAAACATACTAACGCTCGTTATTCAAATTGTTTTGTAGAGCCTTCACATCGAGTTTTTAAGCATTGACAACACCATTCAACTTCATACTTAAAACTTCAATGCAACAATTTTACACTAGTCTTCAGTAAAAAGTAAACTCACTAATGTACACTCAGTATGAGCTTTCTTAATTTACGTACAAATTGGTGGCTGGGTTTCCTGATTTTGGGAGAAATAACTCTGTGGTTGTGTTGGTATGGGTCCACATGGCGTTGATGGAGCACTAGGCTGTTGTTGCTGGGAAGAAGGTGGCACAGTCTGGGGAGGATGCTGGATGGTGCTGTTGGGAGAAGCAGCTCCCGCTGAACAACCAGAAAAAGTTATTCCAAAAATTATACGCACTGTTTAAAACAATCATTTTGGAGTCTACTGTACACAAAACATACAACATTTCAAAGTTTTACTAACCATCTACTGTACACAAAATATACAACAGTTCAAAGTTTTACTAACCATCTACTGTACACAGAACATGTAACATTTCAACATTTTAATAACCGTCTACTGTACACAAAACATACAACAGTTCAAAGTTTTACTAACCATCCACTGTACACAAAACATACAACAGTTCAAAGTTTTACTAACCATCTACTGTACACAAAACATACAACAGTTTGAGGTGAGCATGTGTTTGTTGAGCAAAATAGTAGGATTCTCAAAAACTTTAGTGGGAGAGTGTGGATGTATAAAAGTGCTTGTTGGGTTAAAAAGTAATCTGAGAATACTTAAGTGAGATATTGAGGATGTGTGGCATATGTATACATGTTTGTTAGTCTAAAGAGTTGTCACCTGACAATGTTTAGTTGAGGTACTGTGGATGTCTAGAGTTTAAGACATTTAACTGGAAAGTGAAATGTTAAAAACTTATACAATTTTAAGCTATTTTGGATTTAATTATTAAAATTCTATTAATTCACAAAGACACAACTTCTACAATATTTCCAAGTACTATTTTATGATGCTAAGTTTACAGATATGAATAGGATCCATGAAAGTATATTCACAAAGTCTAGTACTGTTTGGTTTTACGTACTACACATGGCTGTGACTTTTATTTTCTGCAGGCATATTCCTTCAAGAATTCCATTTTTGTACTTGGCAGAAAAGTAAGGTTCACATTCCATAAGTCTTAATATCAATTATTAGAAATGATGCAATGAAACTTCTTTTTCTGCCAGGAGAAGGACATCAAACTACAGGTTATTTTACTCCCATCATACTGCTCCCAACCAGCAGTATCTGAGATGGCTGGTTGATTTCAGGAAGAGATAATTATTAAAATTAGATATATTTACTAAATGACTAACTACCAACTAGCAGGATCCTAGATAACCAAAAGATTTTACAGATAGGAAATAATTAAAATGGTTTCACTACTGGTACAACCAACATCAGTGACATGATGTTTTTTTTAGTATTAACCTGATAATTCTATGTTACATGATTTATAAAGCTTTTCAAAATTACCATAAACAAAAGAAACAATTTGTTGAGATTGAAGCAAATATATTAACATAATTAAGAACAAGTACAATAAAACTGACCAGCAGCTTGATGAACAACAGCTCGGCCAAAAGGATCAGACTGAGACTGTGGTGGATGGTGTTGTACAGTTTGTGGTCCTGCATGTTGGAGGGCCGGTACCCCACTCGGTCCACATTCCAGCTTTCCATACTCGTTTTTCACTAGCCGATTTTCTGTTCCTCCAAAGACAGTAACTGCTTGCTGTTGGCCTTGATGTGGGATCACACACGATTCTTCTTGTCAGATCAAAAGTTTGTTACAGAAAAACAATCTAATTTCTTACATTTATAAATGAAACACTGGTCAGCGAAAAAATCCAATAGGCTGAGCCTGGGAGAAATGTTAACAATGTATTAGAAAACTTGCATTCAGTTATTTTACCACCTGATAATTACTAAACCAATTTCTTACCTCATACATTATAGTATCTAGGTTTCTACTAGTGATCTCCACTTATCAAAAGTGGAGATCTCTAGCAGAAACGTAGGAACTGATAACTTAGGAAGAAAAGTGGAGATTGCTAGCAGAAACCTAGCTACTGATAACTTAGGAAGAAAAGTGGAGATTGCTAGCAGAAACCTAGCTACTGATAACTTAGGAAGAGAAGTGTAGATCTCTAGCAGAAACGTAGGAACGGGTAACTTTAGGAAGAAAAGTGGAGATTGTTAGCAGAAACCTAGGAACTGATAACTTGGGAAGATAAGTGGAGATCGCTAGCAGAAACCTAGGAACTGATAACTTGGGAAGATAAGTGGAGATCGCTAGCAGAAACCTAGGAACTGATAACTTAAAAAGATAAGTGGAGATCACTAGTGGAAACCTAGGAACTGATAACTTAAAAACTAGCAGAAATGTAGGAACTGATAACTTAGGAAGCCAATCTCCAC